ATAAACAGCAAACCAGACCGAAAAACTTCAGAGATATTATCTTTTATTGAAAAAATAAATAGTTATCTTTATTATGCAAGGCACTAAGAAGCACAGGCATGTGAAAATGAACCCTACAGTCAGGGGTCATTTGGGGGGGGATGTGGGGGGACGCCATCCCCCCGGTGAGGCGCGGGAGGGTGGGGCCTGGAGCTCCCTGCTGGTGCCCGCTGGAGGTCGCCGCGGGCTGTGGGGAGGACACACTTCCGGTAATGTCAGGGGGTGTGGCATATGCTAATGAGTTATGCTAATGAGTCCCCCTAGCTCTTTTTCTACGAAATGACCCCTGCCTACAGTTATTGTAAAAACAAGTGCTAAAATGGTCATGGTTGCTCACATTGCTTAATCATGTTATGGTGAGCAATATTTTTAAAGGCAAAGCAGGTTTCAGGTTCTTGTCTCACGGCTTTTAGGGATTATCAACAAGCCCAAATCACATGAGCCCAGAAATCTCCCCTGATCTCCTTCCAAGACTCCCATTCAGAGAAATCTGACCTGCTTAACATGGTAGTGCATTTTAATAGAAAAATATCAGTCTTATCTTTTTCTAAATCTCTTCTATCTTAATCAAGTGATTACTATCCAGAGAAGTGATTGGCTCTTAACTAAATATGAGATAATCAAGACAAGTGCAAATGAGCCAATCAGCAGGTGCCTATGAGTCACATCTGATAAAGCAAGATAAGAAGGCCACTTTTAACACTTAACCTCTATTAAAAAGCAATTAGTCCAACTTTTCTGTAACTTTTTCAATTCACTTAGATTCAGGTGGGTAGCCTGGTTGGTCTGAATCAGCACAACAAAGGTGGAATCCAGTGGCACCTTTAAGACCAACAAAGTTCTGGAGACTTTGTAAGAGATCATAACAAATTTATTCCTAGATCTTCCTTTGTACCAAACATAATGGATCCCTCTATCACAGTGTTCGAGCGACTGTTATTGAATTATACTGAAAGATTTGAAAGAGAAGGCAGTAAAACCAAGTATAACATCTCCATTAGAATATAAGGCAGTGGCAGAACTAGCTGAAGATCCATCTGTAATAATTAAACCTGCAGACAAAGGTGGAGCCACAGTTATATTAAATATTGAGGACTATTTACTAATGGTAGACAAGTTATTACAGGACACCACTCATTACATGCCTGATAGATTTTGACCGCTTAGGGCTCTTTAGCTTGGAGAAACGATGACTGAGGGGTGACATGATTGAGGTTTATAAGATTATGCATGGGAAAGAGCAGGTAGAGAAAGTGGTACTTTTCTCCCTTTCTCACAATACAAGAACTCGTGGGCACTCCATGAAATTGCTGAGCGGTCGGGTTAGAATGGATAAAAGGAAGTACTTCTTCACCCAAAGAGTGATTAACACTTGGAATTCACTGCCACAGGAAGTGGTGGCGGCTACAAGCATGGACGGCTTCAAAAGGGAATTAGATAAGCATATGGAGCAGAGGTCCACCAGTAACTATTAGCCACAAGGTATAGATAGGGGCTCTGGGGCAAGGGATGCTCTGTCATCTTGGTGCTTGGGGGGGTCAACAGTGGGAGGGCTCCTCGTGTCCTGGCCCCACTGGTGGACCTCCTGATGGCACTGGTATTTCTGGCCACTGTGTGACAGAGTGTTGGACTGGATGGGCCTTTGGCCTGATCCAACATTGGCGTCTCTTATGTTCTTATGTTCATGTGTGTTAAAGTCAGAGAACAGTGGTTTTCCTTCTGTGAGCCTTTTTTATTTTCCCCATTGTATTCACACCGAAGCCTGTCTTGTTTTTGATACGTTAACCCACCTGGTGGCTGGCCGCTCTAATGGGGCACTTACTGGCCCCTTGCCAGCTTCCACAAGGTCACCCAAGCCACCCCCCCTCCATGCAAACTGTGACTGGAGACAGGGCACAGTCCCCATTAGGATGTGCTTGGGTGGTGTAGAATGTGCAGGCAGGGCCTGAGGATGCTCTCTCACCCCACCCCACCCCCTGCCCTCCCATGCATTCATTATCCATGGGCAGGCCTGCTCTGCAGAGAAGGCAGAAGGTGTCCGGTGGCTCAGAAATACAAGGGGCAGGGGTCATTTCATAGAAAAAGAGGTGCAGGAGCTCATTGGCACAACTCATTAGCATAACTTATTTGCAAATGCCACACCCCCTGACGTCACCGGAGGTGTGTCAGAAGGCAACACCCACCGCTCAGGCTCCACTGGACTGTTTTGGATCGCTAGCTATTGGGCGGGGATGGACATGTGCAGATCTGTCCTCGCAGAGGAGGGAGAGCTTGTACCTGAATAAAGCTTGGTCTTAAAGGTGCCACTGGACTGTTTTGGATTGCTAGCTATGGGGGGGGGGGACATGCAGTTCTGCACTCATGGAGGAGGGACAGCTTGTACCTGAAGGCGGGCCGGGGGGGGGGGCTCTGCAACTTACCTGGCTGCTTCTTGTGGCCCGACTGAGGGCTGCTGGGAGCAGGGGGCGGGGCTTGTTGCATGTGCCTGCCCCCTGGACTCCTTACTGCCGGAGCTCCGCTCCTGTGCGCTCCTGCAGGAAATGACCCCTGACAAACACATTTATGTGCATCTTGTCACTAGTGTTCCCTCTAAGCTGAGTTGGTGTGAGCTAGCTCACAGTTTTTTAGCCTCCAGCTCACCCATTTTTGTCTTAACTCAGGAAGGACGGCTCCAGAGCATACTAATTTATGCAGTAGCCAAATCGCTCACTTACAACGCCAGTAGCTCACAAAGTAGAATTTTTGCTCACAAGACTCCACAACTTAGAGGGAGCATCGTCATCCATTTTAACCTGCACAAAAAAATGTGTGGGGGTAGTTGCTTTCTCCCTGCTCCTTCCGAAGCACACGGGAGGGTTCTGCATCAGACCCACTCAGCCGCCTTGGAAGGGCACTATCCTGGCTAAATGAGCGTGATGAGCTGCGTAGGCGGGCACATGCACTGAATGTGCCAATGACTCTCGAATCCATTGGGCACACTGAAAACCGTCGAGGCGGATGGTGAACAGCTCACCAAAACCCCGTCGGCACAGACCTTCTGAAGCTTTTGTTACCCTGAAAGAGAAGCGTGGAAAGTGAGGCATGCCAACGCAGGCACTTCCCTGATCAACCTGGAATTATCGCTGCTTCTTGCAAACGGTGGAGTTCTGCCATGGCTGCATTTCCACACTAAGGCAGGGTGGCTGATGGGAACTGTCCCCCCCCCCCCCGCCCTGCTGTGTTCTGTGTGGAGGTGACTTCTAAAGCTTCCCTCATCAAAAGGCTTTGCTGCCGCGCAAGCCCCCCCCCCTGTTCCAGGCTCCAGGAAGGGGGGGGGTTCAAAGGCATCTCGCTGCCACAGAATGATGTAAACAAACTTCAGGCCCCAGCAGAATTCCACCCCGGTAGGAGAAATAACCTGGAAGAGTCCCCCAATCTCAGATTTCATGCAGAAATTAGGAGCTGGCAGACATTAGCAGGAGGTCCCTTTTCACTCAGGCTTGGAAGAAGAGAAGTTGGAAACACAGGGACTAAAAGCACAGCCCAGACCCCAGCAGGCCTTCTTGGAAACCACCTTTCTCACTCAGCACTTATAATTTACACTCTGCTGAAGCAGACCGGCAGCGGAACTCCTGCCTTTCTGTGAGGTACTTCCTTTCTGCAAATGATTCCCTCGTGCTCGGTTTGGTTCTCACAACAGCCCTGTGAGGTATGTTATGCTGAGAGAGAAAGACGGGCCTGAGGCCACCAGTGTGCTTGGTGGCTCAGCAGTGGGATCTGAACCCAGGCTGCTCTGATCCTGCCCAGTAGCGCTCTCGCCCCTGACCGTCTCTACTCATTTGCCCAGGACAGAAGTTAGGCTGCTTGGCCAGTCAATCCCCAGGATCCTCTTTGGACCTCTCTTTGACAATCAAGCTGTGACCCAGGCGCGAATGCCAGACAGATTTAAAGGGAGCAATCAGACAACAACATTGGGGAAGCGCCCCGCAGCCGTCGGCAACCCGTTCTGCTCCTCCGCGGAAGCAGAGTTAAAAGACGCTGAGGGAAATCTGGTAGTAAACGGCTTGCAATGGGCCACAGATGAACTTTCCCCTGTCTGGTTGCTCCAGTGCGCTCTCATGCCATCGGGATGGTCTGATCAGGCCATCCCCACTCCGTGCCATTGTTTCCCCCCCCCCTCGCAGTATGTGCATCATTGCAAACCCGCTAGGGCGCCCTCAGTGTGGAGGTGCGATTCATCGATTCCTTGTTTAAGTGCAAGAGAAACAAAGGTAAAGGTGAAGGTTCCCTTGCTCAAAAGCCAGTCGAGTCCGACTCTAGGGTTGCGGTGCTCATCTCCGTTTCAAAGCCGAAGAGCCAGCGCTGTCCGAAGACATTCCGTGGTCATGTGGCTGCCATGACTAAACACCAAGGCGCATGGAACGCTGTTACCTTCCCACCAAAGTGGTACCTATTTATCTACTTGCAATTTCTTGCTTTCGAACTGCTAGGTTGGCAGGAGCTGGAACTAGAGATGGGAGCTCACTCCATCATGCGGCACCCGGGTCTCGAACTGCTGAACTACTGACCTGCCACAGCCTGCAGTTCAGCATCTTAACCACTTGAGCCACCACAGCTCCTTAAGAGAAACAAACAGCACCAAAAAAAGACTCACCCACAGTTGTGTCTGATCACACACTGACAGGCTGCGCCCGCAGCTTCAAAGGGAGGTGTGATCTTGCCACTGCGGGTCAAATTCCTCCGGAGGAAATAGCCTCGCCTCTCCCCCCCACCTTTGTTTGGCCCGTGTGACCGAACTTCTGCTTCCCTGTCCTCCAGCAAGGAGGCTGCTTTCAGCCACCCATCAGCCCCCCCCCCCGGGGTTTCCTCTTGAGAGGAGAGCAGACAGACCAAAGGAAAGCAAACCTGCCATGAAGGAGTCTGGCCAGTTTTTGACCACCAGCACCTTAATGCAACACCTCTTCTCCTTCTTTGCGTTACAGGCATGAATGCTGGGGAAAGGACGGAGTCTTCTGAAATGCACCCACTCCCGTCTGGGGAACTTGTGGTGAACAACACGCTTCTCAGAGGGAATGTCGGGTCCAGACCCCCCACCACAGGAAGCCTGGTCCAGGCCAGAGAAGACGCGGCTGGCCATCGGACTGAGAAGGCAACCTCGTCCCGGAGGGACGCTGCCGTCTTCCCGGAGGCGACATCTTCATCACGGCTCCCTTCCGACGTGAGACAAGCCATGCCCTCTTCTCAGCAGAAGACCCCCTCCGCCAAGCAAGGAAACGCCGCCAGGAAGCACCCCAGACTCCGGACAGGCACTGCCAGGGCTCCTCACGCAGCCGCCCATCCCAGCGTGCCGAACTCCAGGCTGTTCGTCTCCGTGGAGAGTCTGGACACGCCAGAAGACATCCTCATCGCAGCTCATGAAGAGAAGCCCACAGTGCCTGAACTGACGTTCTGGGGGGGCGGCAGGAGGAAGGGAGGCCGCGGGGTGACCAGCCACGCCCCACTCCAGATTTCCCCGTTCACGGCCAGCCCCGTGAGCTCCCAGACTGTGCCCCAGGGCCCGGGGACTGCAGAGCCAGCCCTGGTGGACGCCGGGGCCCATCATCAAGAGGAGGAAGGCAGCAGTCTGGTGCACGCCCATGCCAAAAACACCAAAGAGGAAGAGGGGGAGGCGGCAGCGGCAGAGCCAGCCAAGGAAGCGCCCTTTGAGGAGGGCCAAGAAACGACCACCTCCACCATCATCACCACCACGGTGATTTCCACGGAGCATTCCCCAGGTAAGGGGTTTCTAACCCACCTTTTTGTCAATGCCAGTTTGCTCATGGAGACAGACTACACAAATACTGCAAGAAGTGCATGCAATTAACAAAAATTGTAAGAATCAGTTGACTCTTGTTGATGAACTTCAAGCTGTTTTAATCTTTCTGTTTTTCAACAGATGAACTTCCCCGGAGTTTTACCGCTCGTTTCGACACATTCTTTCTCAACGTAATGGGAGCTCTTGAAGTTACGTGGAATTGGAGAGAGTCCGATGTCAGATATTGTAAGGATGCAAAATTGAACCGTTACGTTGAGAAAGAATGTGTCGAAACGAGTGGTAAAACTCCGGGGAAGTTTGTCTGTTGAAAAACAGAAAGATTAAAACAGCATGAAGTTCATCAACAAGAGTCAACTGATTCTTACAATTTTTGTTAATTGCATGCACTTCTTGCAGTATTTGTGTAGTCTGTATCTTAGTTATACTGCTGCCCCCCCCCCACCTTCTTTGTCAGTTTGCACATGGAGGTCAGCAACGGGCATCCAATCCAAGGGCCCTGTGAGACTCCCCCCCCTTGCCAACCCCTCATGCCTTCGACTGCTGCCACGCTTGAGGTGGGTACTGGTCACCCACCTGCCCTCCCCCAGGGCCCATTCTGAGTCCCCGTAGACAGATGGGAAGTGATCGTGGGATCCTAGAGTTGGAAGGGGCCTCCGGGGTCATCTAGTCCAACCCCCTGCACAAGGCAGGAAATTCACAAATGCCTCCCCCTCCACACACCCCCAGTGACCGCTGCTTCATGCCCAGAAGGTGACAAAAAACCCCCAAACAACCCTCCAGGATCCCCAGAGAAACTGGCCTGGAGAAAAATTGCTCCCTGACCCCAAAGTGGTGATCGGCATTTTCCTGGGCGTGTAAGAAGGGGCCACGAGAACTAAGCACCAAGGAAACCCTTCCTGCCCTCCATTCTCATGATCTGCCCAAGTTCACAGAATCCGCATTGCTGTCAGATGGCCACCTAGCCTCTGTCTGAAAACCTCCCAAGAAGGAGAGCTCACCACCTCCCAAGGAAGCCTGTTCCACTGAGGAACTGCTCTGTCAGGAAGCTCTTCCTCATGTTTAGCCAGAAACTCTTTTGAGTTAATTTCAATTCCTTCAGTAGAGCTCAGCCTGGATTTAATTGCCTTTTCTCTGTTCATGGGCTGGGTTTTTTTTCCAGTTTTGTGCATGGGGATGGGGGGGGGGTTGGGGGTGCCAGTATTAGTATTTCTAACACAGGTTTGACTGTTTCACAATGATTACATTTGCCTATTTTTGAAAGCTGCTTTGGTAAGTTTCAGGAGAAGCAGGGAATAAATATTTAGCTCAACAAATAGACAGTAGGGAGTGGACAAATGACAGAGCAGACAAGAAGGATGAAGAAGAATCTCCTTAATTGGGGAGGGGGCCTGAAGTGCCCTGCAAGGCAATTGCTCTGCACCCTCCCAGCCCATTGGCTTACAGCCCTTCTAGGCTAATGCCGGGTGGTCCCTTGATTTGTTGGAAGGCCCCTGGCCATTGACTGAGCTTCTCTGATGTCATGGAATGTTTATAGACATTCCAAGGGAATAAAATGTGAGTAGACTCTGTGAGGGGACGTAAAGCATGGGCAGAAAAAGATGAGCCTGGGTCTAGGGACTTGCCATGTGCCTCTGGCAGAGAGGGAGTTTCCCCATCCCAACTGGGGGAGGGAAAG